ACACTGCTATCATGTAACCCCTAGTCCTTCTTTTCATTAATCTATTGTCAGTTTGTCTAGTTTGACCCAATAAAAGAAACACAACATTGTTTAGAATTTGTTGTAAGCCTCCATTCCCAATAATTAATTTTCCTATTAATAGTCTTCTCTGAATTTTTGAATTATTCAACATATCCATTTGAAAATGACATTCAAAAGTTCAGTTTAAGAATTTCATCATTTTTGTGTGTTATATCTAGACAGAAATGAATACAACTGAATGCTAAAGGTCTGTGTATCTTTTCTCAATGTCTTAGATAGGTATAAGAACAACACTTTTTGTATTTTAAATGCTAACAGGATAGAGCCATAATGACCAAGCCCCGTTTTTTGGAAACTGATTATTTGGTAAGATTAAAATCACAGTATGATGTTTTTGATGTCTAACCTGATCCCATGATTGATGATAATAAAACATCCTGAAAATAATAAGGGCATCAACAGATTTGCACTTCCCCTATTTTCCAATGTAGGTCAGCTACTTAGACCACTAAAAAAGCTTAATTATGATAATCCAGTTGCTTGTATTTATTTTGTCCCAGAATGAAAGGCTTTGGTATTGTGTGGATATATTCCATATAGTGGAATTATTTTTGTTTCTTTATTGATTGCTATAAGGATGTATCATATTTTAAAGAAATATAACTTAAATTGAATTTTTGTTGTCTCCAACCAAAATCTGGCAATTAAAAAAAAAACAATTGAAATATAATAGCCTTCATATCTGCAAGCAATTTATCTACTTCCAGTAGATAAGATTATATATTTAGGTTGGGTTGACTGTGGAGTCCATGGTACTTTTTGAGCATATTGGGTAGCTCACATTTATATACCGGTACTTAACATGTGTAGAAGAAGAAATAGTTAACTCACGGAAGTTTGAAGAAGTTTACTTCTCTTGGCCATATTTTCAAAAGAACCATCTAGATCAGCAGAGGCTATTTTCAGCTTTGGAGGTGTTACAACCTTTTTCAAATAATTCAGAAAAATCAAGAATTATGTGAAAAGCTGCAATAGTTTATGAAGGAACATGGACAAGAAAAAATAATCTATTATCCGGTGTCTTGAAATCATCTTTATAAGAGCTTTTCAATGTTTACCACATTCACACTTACCACCATCAGTAGTATTCCTGTTTCAAATATGACTGGGAAAAGATTTATGTTGGAATTGGCATCCAGGTTATCTTCAGAAAAGTTTCATAGTTTTAGAATTTACATACATGATTAGTGTGGTGTTTCTTTACAAACCAAACATTCATATTATCAACCATCCTTATCCAGAGGCAAAGTGTTTACTTTGACTTAAAAGTTTTCAATGCAGTTTTCTTTTTTGCTTTTTGAATGACCTGTTTGTCACATTTATATAGTCTAAAAAAATCAGTTCTATATGGACTTCAGCTCTCTCCCCCTCCCCTGCTCAAAAATATAAAATGCCCACATGTCTGTCATAAACATGGATCTTTTGAAGAAAAAAAAAACCCTGGAGAATTTCTGCAAATTCAAGACAGATGATGGTATGCAATTCCTTAGATACTTCAGATCTTAGATTGTGCATTTCCCTATCATCCAGTAAAGTTTAATTTCCTGTATTCTTATCTCATGGATGTTCAAGATGCTATAAAAAGTGCAGGGTTTTGCTTTTGCCTTCCTTTTCTATAAAATCATCAATTATACTGTCATTAGTGGAAAATATAGTCAATTGCTTATTCTGTTTTGTTGTTTATTTACAGCATTTTTTAAATACCATATTTGTAATCCTGTGCTCTCTTTTTTCCCCAGGAGCAAATTTAATTCATGCTATTCGAAATCACCAAGCTCTGACTTGGTCTCTCATTCCCCCAAAGGTATGCTGAGTTAGAACTACTCTGTACTTTGTCGGTGACTAACTACCAGGAAATTCAGGTGCTAGGACTGTAGTCTAAACTGGGAAGTCAGATAATGACTACGTGCATGATGTAGTCATTTTCTGACTCTTCCAAAAGTCGTGAAGTCACATCAGTTAATGTTACGTCCTGTCGGGTTAGAACTTCAAGAGAAGATACAAACTCATCATAGCTTTCATCCAACGAAGAAAAAATAATGTAGACCTGGTGTAGCTCAGAAAAAATCAACTCCTTTTCATGTAGCTCCTGGAAAACTGCTTTCATAAAGTTCAAATGAGCTAACATATCTCCACCTTTCTGGAGCCGTGTTCTGAACAGTTTACGTGTAATATGAAAATGCTTACCCATAGCGTCACATACATAAATTCTCTTTAAAGTATCCCAACACCTCACAGCTGAATCTTCACCATGAATATGAACCAGTTATTGGTCAGCTAATGTTAATCCAATGATACACATGAATATGAACCAGTTATTGGTCAGCTAATGTTAATCCAATGATACACATG